GGGAAGTGGCTTATTGACTTTGAGGTCAAGGGCAGGGCTAGCTTTTCTTAGGAGACTGAGAGGTAATATAACTCAAACCCCTGCTGTGAACCAGGCTTGGGCTGAGTTGTATCACCTCATTAAATCTTCACTGACCCCCCCCCCACAAAGGTCTGTTACAGATTGGGCAAACTGAGGCACAGAAGGATAAGTTCTTGCCTGTGGTCCCTATAGCCTTGACAAGAGGGGACTGGTCTGTTTGGCTCATTAACCTCCCCACTGGCCTTTCCCTAGGCTACTGGAACTATGGGCTTTGGGCCCTGATGGCACAGGGTTCCTGGTGGCCATGACGACGGGTGACTGCTGCCACCTGCCTGGCTCCCTGTGTGACTGCTCTGGCAGCCCTGCCTTCTCCAAGGTTGTGGAAGCCACAGGTCTTGGGCCACCCCAGTATGTGGCGCAGGTCACTTCAAGGGATGGCCACCTCCTCTCCACTGTCATCCGGGCCTTGGACACACTGAGGTGAGTTAGTGGTGACCAGGTGGGTGTCCTAGCCTTCCTTCCCTCTTTTCTCTGGGCTTCTCAGTCTGGGGTCAGAAGTCTAACTATCCAGAGAGACCTGTGCATAACTATACCAGAGAAAGGGACCCAAACGGTAATCATCACGTGGAAACAAAGGCCAAGGCCAGCCAGGTCTGATTCTCCAAGAAAAGCCAAAATTTGAGATTATTATATTAAATCTGAATTCAAATGTTGGCAAGCAATTCATGCTTTGGTGAAGCAGAACGGAGAATGATTGAGCATGCCAGCTATGGATGCCTGGGCTCACATCCTCTCTCTCTCTCCCAGAGTGACTGGGACAAGTCACTTCACTATCTCCGAAGGGCCAATCTTCTTCATTAGGTTGTTCTGAGAATACAATGTCATAGTCCATGGGAAGCACCTGCAAGAGGATTGGCTTGACACTCAGTAAACATTTGATTGGCTTGGCGCCTGTGGCTCAATCAGCTAAGGCGCCAGCCACATACACCTAAGGTGGGGGGTTCAAATCCCCAGCCCGGACCTGCCAAACAACAGTGATGGCTGCAACCAAAAAATGGCCAGGCGTTGTGGTGGGCGCCTGTAGTCCCAGCTACTTGGGAGGCAGAGGCAGGAGACTCGCTTGAGCCCAGGAGTTGGAGGTTGCTGTG